CCATCCTCAGGAAGCGCAGGTGCTCCTGGGCGCAGTGGCCGTGCCGTGTAGGCCCTGCAGGGGTGCTCACTCACCAGGTGCTGGTCGTTGAGGAGGTGCACCACGCGGGACGTCCAGTCGCCCATGGGGACGAGGTCGGGAGACGTCCTGTATAAGCGCAGCAGGCACAGGGCGGCGCTCTGCTTCACACTGTCCATGGTGTCTCTGAAAGACAGGCAGCAGGTCCCTGCAGGGCTCAGCCAGCACCGTGTGTGGCCCCAACGAGCAAGAACAGCCCAGAACAGCATGGAGAGCACCCCAGAGTCAGCGGCACCAGAGGCACATGGGGCCCGACACGATGCGCAGAACAGGCCTCTCAGCTCCGCACGCGGTCAACCCCGTTGGGACTCCGTGTGGACCACACCAGGGCGGTGACGGATGGCCGTCTGCCCACGGGGCCATGCCACGGACTCCACCCCCAGCACAGTTCACAGGAAGGGTCCCGCCACTGGTAACCCTCCCCTCCCCGAAGCAGCAGTCCAGGTATCTCTGGCTGCTGACTACGCCGAGCCGGCAGGCTGACCGCAGTCACCTACCCTTCCCCCAACTGACTCACAGAACCTTCCCCACAGCTCGCTCAGCAACACACGAGCAAGACCGGAAGTGCACAGAGCTTCGACGGCCACAACTCTGTGGCCACCAGGACCTCTCCACGGCCACCTGTAGCCTCTGGCAGGTGCGGGGGCCCCGCCCTGTGCCGCAGGAGCAGAGGCGGCGCCCACTGCTGCGGGGCGGGGTCGGCGGGGAGAGGCCAGGCAAGGGCGTCCAGAGGGCTCTCGCTCTGGATTTGGGCTGAGGACTGAGTTCAGAGAGCATTCCCATACTTCTATCCCCCACCTCCCCCAGCCAGGCAGCCGGGGAACACTTCCGGGAGGGGTACGCAGCCCCGCAGCGCTGACCAGAGAGGAGAGGAGGTTCGGGGCTGTTTTCACCGTTTATCCCCCCTTTTAGCTTTTTTATTCCTCAATGAGTCCAAACCGACAGAGACACCCCCAAACTGCCCCCATTCTATTCCAAAGAAAAATTACTTTAGTGACAGCTGCCTCTCAGACACGAACACTCTGGGGAGCAGGGCTGCTGCCCCCACGTGGCTGGGGCTGGAAGTCGACTGTGTGGCGGGCCCACAAGCCGGGCGCCCCATACCACTCGGACGGTACCCTCGGTGAGAACTCGCGGGGACAAGGGCGGGGACAAGGGCGAGGACAGCCAACACCCGCGGGGAGGCAGGCAAACCACTGCCCCTTTGTTTCAATCCTCTCTTACCAAGGACCCGAGCCCAGCCCCAGAGCAGCTTCTCCCCCGAGGGCCCACTCAGTCCAGGCCAGAAGATAACCCTCTGCCCGCTCCCCTGCCATCCCGGCTCCTGCGGTGACTTCACGCCAGGTCGAGGCATCTCCCTCCCAAGCACTTTATCTGGAGTCGTCTATTTGGTCGCTGGAGTTCAGGAGTTTGGTAATCTTTTTCAAGGAGGGCTCGCGGGTCCTGAGCTGTCTGGTGACGCACAGCTGGCTGCCTGTGGCCCTGATGCTGACAGGACACCCACGCGGTGTGACCACACAGGCCCTGGGCCTTCTGCCTGCACACACCCCTCACCTGTCTCCCTGCGGCAGGGTCCTCATCACCCTCCGTGTTGGCCCCTCAAGGCTGCGTCTCAGGGCGCACCCCCATGTCCACGCAACCAGAGGTGCACCTACCCTTTATTTCAGAGAAGTGCCCTCGAGTCATCTGAAAGCTTTCAGAGGTTACCTGTCTCTCCTCCACTCCACCCACCCCATGGACATTTGTTTACCGAGCACTTCCTGTGCACCAGGTGTGTTCAAAATGCTGGAGGTAAACCGACAGCCACAGGAGACAAAACGTCAGAACCCAGAGAGCTTGCTCCTGAGAGGGGACCGGCAACGCATGGCCACGGTCACAGCGCGAGCAGGGCAGCGGGGGTGGGGGCATGGGGGGCCCTCAGCCTAAATCCCCTCCAGCCTCCTCCTGATGGCTTCCAATCTCCCCTCCCACCTGCCCCTCATGTGCACACTGAAGGTATCAAGTCTCTGACTCTCAAGAGCCCCGCGGTGTCCTCTGCAACTTCTGACCCCGGTGTGTGGCAGGGCCCCCTCTTCCTGTGCTCAGCCATTGCCTGAGCTCACACTCCACGATGCTCATCTCCATCAGGCTGCTCTGTGGCCTCTCCCCCAGCCCGGCCCCCCACGCGCCCTCTGTGGCCCTGCGACACTCCTCCAGGAGCGCTTCGGAAAGGGCAGAAGAGGCGCCGTGCCCCGGGGCGAGCCCCTGCCTGCCAGGATGCTCCGCGGTGCCAGGACGGAGTGCCCGACTGGAGGCACCAGGTCTCAACTCATGTCTGCTCCACCCCGCGCCTACACCCCAGCACCTCACCAGGCAGGGTGGGCTCATCCCACACACTCGGCATGAGAGGGACCGTGAGAGGGACCGTGTGCTCGGGGCTCGGCAGGTACCAACCCGGCCACGAGGATCCTGGGCACGTCAGCTGCAAAGGCCTCGGCCATCTCGCGGCTGCCCACATTGGCGATGCAGTGCAGTGCCAGGCCCATGAAGCTGGGGTTGCGGCTGGCCAGGTCGTTCTTCACGGCGTTGTTGATGAGGCGGATCAGCTCCGAGTTGGAGTTCACCAGCACCGAGATGAACAGGTAGCCCTGCACACCGCCAGGATGAGAGAACAGAGAGCCCGTCAGCACCCGGCCCCAGAGCTCCGCCTTCGGGGGGCCGACGCACGGCCCGTTCGCGCGGGCCGCCGCGAGCTCCGCGGAGGGAGAAGCCAGCTCTGCCGCAGGAGCACGTTCTCAGCCTCAGACCGCGCGGCGCTCTGCAGACAGCCCTGCGTGCTGAGACGGCGTCCCCACCCCACTCACGGTCCACGGCAGCCTCCACTCACCTCCGTCCCGAACCGGGACTGCCTCAGCTCTTCCTGAGACACTGCGGCGACTTCCAGAAGCCCAGCCAGCTGCTGTCTCCCCCCACCTCGAATGCATCTCCAGGCTCCAGCTGCCCCTTTCCCTCAGGCCAAATGCCAGCCCCTCCGCACCCTCCCAACGCAGGGACACAGCTTAAACTCCCACCCAGCCCGAGTCTCTGGAGAAAGCCCCCAGGAGCTCCCCTCCTTCCCTGTTAACCCCTTGACCCCCATCTCAGCTGGGGCCCTCCCTGGGAGCCACCCCTCAGGGTCCGCAGGTTTCTGCACGCCCCCTTCACCGAGCACCGGCCCCACAGCTCTAGTTCTCTGTTCAGGGGCTGTCTGATCCATCTCCCCAGCAGAAAAGAGCAGGGCCCGCACCTGCTTCAATCACTGTGTCCCCAGGGACCCCCAGCACACTGCTGGGTCCACCCAGGCACTCAATAAATTCCTGTTGCGTTACTTAACAAAATTCTTGGGGCAGCTAGAGTATCTTTTTCACTTTCTGTAACTTAAATTTTTGGACAAATAAGAGGAAAACCCTCGAGAAAACACAGAAATAAGGTGACGCCAGGAGGATGCAGGGCTAAAATGACAAAGCCTGTGAGGGCTCCAGGGGCCCAGGTACCAGCACTTCCTGTGAAGATGCGAGCTGGGGCGAGACAAGGACACCCACCTGCCCTTGGCTCTTCAACCACAGGAGGTGGGGCCCATTTCAGAAACGGAAAGTTGCACGAGGGGCCACCAGGTAAACAGACGGGACAGCGCGTCAGCGAGGCGCCGAGAGGAGAGGAGGGGAGCGCTTCCCTCCCTCCCTCCCTCTCAGACTGCGTGGGGAACAGCTGCACAAAGCGTCCATCATACCCACACCTGCCAAAACGCACAGGAAATTCCCAGACTGCACGGACAGTGTAAAAACAGCGAGAAATTAAATGGCCACCTGACAGGAGACCCTCACCCGGGAAAAGAGACCCTGCCACAGCAGGACTGCTACCTGGAGAGCAGCGGGCAGCTCAGCAAGGGAAGGGAGGCCCTGGGCCCCTCCCCGCCTGGAGCCCGCCCACAGCCGGGACACTCACGATCTGCTTCTCCGTGTATCTGTTGGAGCTGAGCAGGTTCACAGCCTCCATGTGCCCGAAGTCGATGTCGTGGCCCAGGAGGAAGATGAAGAGCAACTTGCACACGTACTTCTTCTTGCTGTAGCCATCCAGAGCCTTGTCACCTGGGGGAGAGGGGGGGAGGGAGAGCAGGAAGAAGACCCCCGGCCAGGCGCCCTGCCGACACAGCGTCCAACAGGAAAGGCATTCCTAAACCAGGTCATGCACGTCAGAGTGCAAACATTCAGCTTCCCTTAAAAAACACAAGCCAGGGGCACCTATCTGGAAGCAAGAGTTCTGCCATCTCAGGACAGCCCCGGGGTTGGGGGGATGGCCCGGACACGGTCCGGCCGGGCCCCAGGGCCTCACTCCAACCGGCCACAGCAGTGCCAGGGCCAGCCTGGTCTCAATCATCAACTTAATCCTCTAAATACGTTTATTAATTGAGGCAGAGGCATGCACTCTAAATCACCTTACGTTTCACCCACTTCTAGGACCAATCACCCACCCTAGAATCATACACAGAAAGACCAGGGGGGCTTCTGTCTTAGTCCAGATCACAGCATGACTAAGGACCCCACAGAGGGCGCAGCAAGGCACGCTCACGGCACGTCGCTGCGGAACGTAGAACGTCACTTTAAGAAAGACCCCTAGGCGCTGCCGTTTTAAATAACAGACATTCTTGTTTCACCCAAGAAGTGTAAAGCATTCCTTCGTAAACAGCAGAGGTGACAGCCAGAGAGCCTGCCATCTCCTGAGTTGCGTCTTCCAGCGACACGGCTGCCACACCACTGAGGGCCCATGTGGGACACAGGTGGGCCAAGTGGGATGCAGGGAACCGGGAGGACTGTGACAGCCATGCTCCTCGCTGGTGCGGGCCAGGACACTCGTGCTCCGTGGACAAGCACTGGCCGATCTCAAGAGGCTGTCTAGAAATAGGACCTCCAGACTTCCTGTGGTGACGGTGGGCCGCACCTCACCTCAGGGAACTCTGAGAAACCCTCCCATTTTTTCAGCAGCAAACTGACATTTGATTTACTAACCAAACCGTATAAACTCAGACCAGGCCAGGTTTCCACCCACCACCCCCACTCACTCATCCGCCCGCTGCACCCCAGGAGTCCGGCTCCACCAACTCCTGGCTGCATTCTGGCAGGACCCACCCCATCTACCGTGGGGGAGCATCTGCAGGCTCAGGGCACGCAATCCACAGCAAGCAGCAGCGATCCCCCATCTCCCACCCTCCTGGCCTTCAGGAAGCAGCCTGGCTCTGCCACCTCCTGGACAGTGGGCGGGCCCTGCTACAGCAAGAACCCGGGGAACAGGCCGCGGACACAGCAGGGGCTCTCTCCATGATGCACCCTAGCCGGTTTCTGCTCCTGCAGGACGTGGACACGGGGTCCCTCCATGGCCCTCCCCAATGCTGGGGGACTTACAGAGGCACACGTTTAAAGGCTGAGCGCACATGAAACTCAGGGCCATGGCTCAGGCAAGCGCAGCCAAGAGTGTCGGCCCTGGCGGTGCTGTGACATGAGGCAAAAGCCGGCGCTATGGGGCAGTCTGGGGGCCTCCCCAAGTACCTCTGAGGACTGACCTGGGGCCCAGCCCAGAGAGGAGGTGACAGGCAATCCCACCTGGAGCCGAGCACCCAGAGGGACTCATCCTCAGTGAGGGGCAGGTGGACTTATGCCTGCAAAGAGGACAGGTCAGTGCAAGCAGGAAAAAGCAGCAGTCCCCAAGGACACGCGGTCCAGCCTGCTCTCAAAGGGGACCAAGCCGGCAGAGGCGGCAGATACACAGCACCCCTCGGCCGGTGCCCACCCAAGCCTGACCCACCTGGGCTCAGAAGCGCCTCACCTGCTCAAGAGTGAGCCCAGAGAAGCCTTTCCCTTCTTTCGATCCATCCTAACAAGGTCCCAGGGAACTGTGCAGCCAGAGCAGCCCCCAGCCTGAGTGAGAGGCCAGTGCCAGCCTGGACAGGACACATGGGGCTCCGACTGGGCCCGGGATGCTCACTGTGGTGGGCACACCTCATCTGCTCAGGGCTCAGGTGACCCCAGGGCTTTCTCAAGCCACTTTCCAGCCCCGAGCCGCCCAGACCTGGCTTTTCGGCGGCAGCAGGCCCGCACTCTAGACTCAGGAAGAGGTCCTGCGAACAGCGAGTCCCACAGCCCAGCCACCTGTCTCCACCCACGAGTGCTCACCGCTCCACCTGCACTCACCCCAGGGGCCCCTCCGGGCCCCTATCACAGCCCCGCAGGAGCAAGGCCCAGCAGAACACAATAGAAACCCCTTGGGCGTGCAAGAGGAGCCGGCACCCCAAGCACCCTCCAAAGGGCACCGCTGGGCCGGCTCTTCACGCCTCAGGCCCCCATGACAGTCTCCCAGCAGCAAATTCAAGACGTGCCGTCAGGACACAGAAGGTCCCCAGGCCCAGTCACCAAAAGCCTTCCGGCAGCTCTGGGGCACAGAAGGCTCTGGATGTGATGTGGAGATGGGAGGGGTTTGGGCCCCAACGCTGTCTCTAGGCCCCACCCTGGCCAAAACCTCCCCGACTCCTGCCCTCTCCACAGGACCCAGGGGCCGGCCGGGCTCCTGCCGCACCAGTGCCCCAGTTCCCCCTGCAGCCCCGAGCTACCCCTGCTCCCAGAAGTGACTCCCCCACCCTGCAGGCAGTGCTCCCCGAGCCTTGTGACTTGCAAGCCTTCATGTCAGAGCCCAGTAGTCCCTCACAGGAACATCCTCTGAGCCGCGTGTGGTTCCCCTCTCCGGAAAGGACCAGGCTGGGACAGCCTCAGATGTGAGCTTTGGACTGGGCTAGAAGTGGGTACTGATCCAGCAATGTCAAACCACTAAATCCAGTGTTTTCTGAGCTGTAAGGGGGTGATGACAGCGACACCCATACCTCTGGCTGCTGTGAAGATCACAGGAGAGGACAGACAGGAAAGTCGGCCACAAACCACAAAGGGGCTTGACACGGGCCGGGGTCTCTCAGCCTCCCCCAGCCCAGCCCTCCGCGGGGCCAGCAGTGGGCCAGCGGTACCTGCGAGATGAGCCCACAGCAGAGGCCACTGAGGACTGTATTTCTCTAGCTCTTGAGACGCATGCCGATTTCATAATGTGAAAAATGTGGAAAAACATCTTAGAATCACTGAAATCCGGCATTTTTACAACAAAATGTCAAACAGATAAGACACAAGACTGGAAGGCAGGTGAGTCGCCACTGCATCTGGACACATGGACAACCCGCTCCCTCGAGCTCAGGCGGCGGGCCGGAAGGATAGGCACCCTCCCCAGCTGCCTGTTCCCCCAGGGGTGCCCCCAGCACCTGCCCTTCCTGCCTGTGTCCCAGTCCGGCACCCATGAACCTAACGACTGCCCACTCAGACACTCATAACTCAGCCCATCCTGCCTCCTTCACCAGCCGCTGTGGCCAAAACAGACCCAGGTTAAGAACTTTTTGGTGGCAGGGGAAATGCAATCAGCCCAGCCAGTCTGTGGGCTTGTGCATGGCCCTGGGCCACAAGCAGACAGGGATCTGCTGCCCATGCCTCGAGGGCAGGAGTCCCAGGCTGAAGAGAGGCTCCCACACCTCCTGCCCCCACAGGCTCTGTACCTGATAACCCGAGTCGGGCCCTACCTCACTGAGAATGTCCTCACCTGACAAGCAAAATGCCAGGAAGAACCTACAGGTCCCCCGGCGTCGCGAGATTCACTTTCCGTCTCTAGGGCAATGCGACCGAGCCCCAGTGACCAAATCCTTCCGCTTGACTTTTACCTGGGACCCTTTCTCACAGGGATCGGGCTCAACAAGTATCTCCTTAGGTTCAAAGAGGGAAAAAGAACAAGATGCTGAGGATGGACGAGGGGCCACCGCTGGCTCCGTGCCTCCCCCTCCACGGCTGGCTGTTTTCTAGAGCTCAGTCTTCAGACTTTCCTCCCCAGAACCCCTACACACCTGGGCGCGGTCTTTATTCTCCAGGGCACTTAACCAGACTCAACTGTTAAAAAATGGGAAATGCAAATTAAAGCCACAGCAAGGCACCAGCACATGCTCACTAGAAAAACTAAGATTAAGAGCCACACCAAGTGCTGGCGAGAACGTGGAGGGGCCAGGGGAGGAGAAGGGGGCAGGCGCCCTGGGAGACACGCGGCAGGCTCCAGAAGGTCACACACACTCTCCAGGGACCTGGCCGTGCCACTCCCAGATGTCCCCCAGAACTCCCGCACGGTGTTCCCAGCGCCCGGCCCCAGCAGGCAGCACCGGAAACAACCCAAATGCCCACACTGCTGAGTCAGAGGGCAGCACTCGAGGCCTCACAGGGCAGATGACCTTCCTACAACATTTCTAGAAACAGCAGAAAAGCGATAGAAAGCAGGTCAGTGGCTCCCAGGGAGGAGGGTGAGTGCAGAGGGGCACTCTGGGGTCTTGGAGGCATCCCCTGTTTTGTCTGAGGGCATGAATACATGCATTTGCATATAATAAGGGAATTTCACTGTAAGTTACAGAGCCAATTTTTTCAAAGTCGCTCTGTCCACATATCCCAGGGGAAAAAGGAGAACGAAAGATCAAAGAACGTGGGCGAAACCTGGAAATGGGAAAGCCAGGGCACAGGCGCCTGGAGGGAGCAGCACGAGGAGCCCCCAGCGCAAGCCCTGCGCTCCCGCAGCAACAGAGGGTGCGTTTTCTAGTCTTTCTGTATCTACGTCAGTGCTTTACGGGAACTTTCCTCACCCACCTCTGTGCCCGAGCACCTGGGACTCGGTGAGGGCTCAGCAGTGAACAAGCAGTTAGCCTGTGCCACCCGCTAACTGGTGACGCCCATCAGTGAGAAGGAAGCCTCTGGGCAGGACAGCACGGCACAACCCTGGTTTCCAGAGGTGCCAACACTGAGGCGTGCCGGCTCGTCTCCCCCGACCCGAGCACCCGGGCACACAGCCGGCCCTGCTTCCCGCTCACAGCCCACAGGCCCGCCGGGCTTGCTGCCCCTCCCCTGCGCAGCGGCTCCGGGCCCCTCCGTGTGCCTCTCTCTCCAGCGTCTTTGGGGAGCACGGAGCCCCCGCAGGCCAGGGGACGAGCGAGCAGAGGCTGGGCCTCACAGCCAGACACTGCTCCACCGTGAGGCCCACATCTCTCTCCAGTGTCTTCTCGGGGGATGCGGGGAGGGAAGCCTCCCACAGGCCAGGGGACAAGCAAGCGGAGGCCAGGCCTCGCACGTGGACGCTGGCCACCCCGAGGCCCGCATCCTCCCTTAGGACAGAGCGCCATGTGAGGCCGGCGGCCCAGCCCTCTTGACAGCACAGTTTCCGTGGGCTCTGCTCCCCGGTGTCCCTGGTGTCCCTGGTGTCCCTGGCCCCGTCCACATCTCTCCCACCTGCTTGCTGTCAGGCTCTCACTTCTCTGTGACTGACCTGCACACCCATCACATCTGCCCTCTGTCTGCCTCTGACGTCATCTGTTTCTGGCCTGAAGAACATCCTTTAGAATCTCCTGCACTGGACTTCTGGTGGGAAACCCTCCATTTTTGTCTGAAAAAGGTCTTTTTTGGCTTCTTTCTTAGAAGACTTTCACTGCTGGTGTAGACCCGTCAGTTGGCTGTTACTCTTTTAGCACGTGCGGTGGCGCTGGGCCCTGCCCCAGCCCCCAGCCCGGGAGAATCAGCACCCAGGCAGCTCCCATGAAGACAGCCCCCTCCGGCCACCTCTGCGGTCTCCGCTCTTCCATAGACGTGTGTCTCAGCATAGATTTCATTTTATTTATTTAGTTTACTGTGTGTTGACTGTGAGGTTTGGTGAATCTCATGAATTCTTCAAAGTTCTCTGTCACATCAACTCTCCTTTCCTCCAGGAAGTTCAGTTAAGCCTTTCAGACCTTTCTACCACTCCCCAGGCCTCTCACCCATCCTTCTGTTCTCCCTTTCAGTCCAGACCCGGGCCACGTTCAGGCAAGGCTGTCTCCTCAGCCGTCGCTCAGAGCACCAGCCTCTCTCCAGTGTCCGCTGTCACCTCCACCCAAGCCCCCCTTCAGCCCCAGAGCTTCCACCTGGTCTTATTTCAAAGTCGGCTAGGTCGCCTCCTACACTGCCCAAGCTCCCCATTGGAATTTTCAAGTTTGCCTTTCACTTCTTTAAAATCGTGAGCCCATTTCTTCACTATAAGCTGCACCTGGTATCAGGGCCTCTGTGACTCCGTGTCCGCTGGCTCTACAGGTGCTTGTTCGTGCCGTCTTGGCACTCGGTGTGCCTGGCCATCGAGGACCAGGTGCTGGACGACGTGCTGGGGAAGTCGGCTGGGGGGACCGCTTGCAGCCTCTGATGGTGGCCTCACCCTCTGGAGGACTGCTGCGCCTACCTGCCATTGCCCGCGGCAAGGCTGCACAGGCCTGGCTCTCTCCAGGATTAACCAGTCTTTCATAAATGTGTCCCAAGGCGGACAGTCTACACTTGGCAATTGTTCAGGGTGAGGACGCTCAGGGAAGGCATGCACCCCGCAGACTGGCTCACAGAGAGGCGGCTCCCTGAGCAGACCAGGTAGCGCGGTGTGTTACTCGCTGACCCACCTCCGCGCAGGAAGGGCTTAGATCACCGCACGGCACTGCACACCACCAGCAGCCTCTACCCGAGACACGTGCTTTGCCCTAACGTGTCGGAGCTGCGGGCTCACACGCTCCTCCACTTTGTGGACAGTCTGCAGCTGGAAGTGCAAGAAGCTACTCCAGATTAGTGTCCTTCCAGCTCCGGGCAAGGCCGGTCCGGGTTTGGCGGGGGGGCACGCTATCTGATCAACTCTACAAACCGCCAAACGACTCAAGAATAACTGCTAGCTTGACTTTAAGCGATTTAGTTCCAACAGAGCCATGACAGTAACTGCACTGAGACCTTAACTTTGGTTTGAAATGAAAAAAATAAATGGATAACATTAAAAGATTAGGTCCTTACCGTATAAAGCTTACAACAGTACATTTCATGACAAAGGTTAAACACACTTACCTTTAAATTTTGATCTAATGTTTGCCAGCTCTTTGTTTATTCTCTTTATTTCCGCTTCTTTACTTTTGCCTAAAAAAAGAGAACACAAATGCATCCTGCTTTAACTGATTTCAAAACGAACACTCACTCCCCAGTCAGACCGACATCAGCGTCATGGGCAGAGTCTCGGCCCCCTGGAGCCCCAGGAGAGAAGCAATCTGGGCCCGCGAGGCGGGCCAGGAGGCGGCCGCCGGTCAGGACGGGAGCACCCACAAAGGCCCCGGGAGAGAGCGGAGCGGCCCACTGCGCCTCCGCCGCAGCCCAGGGCCATTAAACACAGACAGTGCTGCGGAGCGTTCTCGCGATAAATCACCACCAGCTAACAACTCACTCCTGAAGCTGACTTGTACTGCCACAGACAACGTTTCTCATTTTTAACTACTGCAGGCTTCTAGTGTGCTTTCTTTATGAAATTCACCAGCTGACAAAGTCGGGGAAGTCCACCTGTACAGTGCTCAGTGATGTCTGGGAGTGCTCCGTTCTACCAAAGAGAGACGGAAGGTGTATCACGCATATGGAGTCAGACTTCCACCAGAACCTGCAGCCCACGCTCAGTCGGCCCTCCTGCCACGAGCACCTGCGGGTGTGCAGCACATCAGCCACGGAGCAGAGCGGGGCATGCCAGCTCCACTCCCCTGGACAAGCTGCAGAAACAGGCCTTCAAAGCACGGGCAGCTTTTCGAGAGGACACGCCTCAACGAGTGCTGGGGGATACAAGACACTGTCCATCACACGGGCCAAGGGGAGCTGGATGTCCACACCCGTGTATGTCTCCGTGTACGTCACTTTCTGAAGCAGGACAAAGTTTACTGCTAAAGACCCTCTCCGGGCAAGTCCTGGGCTCAGTGACCACCTCCAGGGGAGGAAAGGCACCCCCGCAGCCACCCCCGCAGAGCACCGCCAGGCCCGGGTGCTCGCAGATGCCCACACGTGGGGCGCACTGCACTCTCCTCCAGACACACCACCCCCCGGCTCGGCCTCCAGCGCGGCCTCTTCTGGAACGTACCTGCCTTCCCCAGCAGGGCCGCCTGCCTCTCCCCAGGGTGCTCCACAACATCCTTCATCTTCTGCTACCGCCATGCTAATAAGCATCCGCCGAAGTAACACGGGGCCGCCGGAGCCACTACTGCCCAAAAGCCCTGGCCGGGACGGGGGCAAGAGGCATGCGCGCTGTCCAGGCGCCGTTCGAGGTGCCAGGACTTGGGCCGAGGCAACACCTCCTACTTGGGGAACTGCCATTCCAACGGAGGTGAGAGTGGGGGCTGGAGAGCTTTGACAACACAACACCTCAGCTCTGGGGAGCGAGGATGTGGGCTGGGAGGACACCCCGAACCTCCTTCCCAGCCCTGATGGCACAGGAAGCTCATAGCTGTGCCCCGCTTCCTCCTCTGTGCGAGGCTGGGTAGCCGAAGGCTCCCAGGAAACGAGGGGGCAGCGTGTAGAGCAGCAGGCCTGATGCCCAGGGCGGCAGGTCGAGGGCAAACTTTTCCTTAATTAGTCTTTTCCGACTCGGCTGAAAGGGCCAGGAGAACAAGACCTGGGCACCTTCTGCAGCACTCACAGAGAAACAGAGACCATGGGCAGCGGCCACGTGGCCCGGCCTGAGTGCACGGGAGTCCTGCAGGCCTGTGTGCCTCACCAGGTGGCAGGAATCCGTGTGTCAGAGCTTCCTTCTGCTCCACCTACCCCAGCCCTAGGGAAGACAGACCCCGAGAGGCAGGCACCTGTGTTGTGCAGAGTCAAGAGGGGTCAACCGAGAGAAGTGGGACAAAGATAGGAGGCAGTGGGCAGAGGGAGTCACGGTTAATGTTAAGTCAGCTTTCCCAGGGGGAATCTACAGCTATTACCCCAGACCAGTAAATCACAAAACAAAAGCAAAAGCACATAATCTGGAGTTAGGGGTAGCCAGGGGAGGAGCAGAAACCAGTGGTGAAGAACGGCCTTCGACGCACTCTGCAACCGAGGAGAAATTACTTCACATCTCTGCGCGCAGTCCCCTCAGCAGGGAAACCACCACAAGCCACAGGCCCTCGCAGCAGGACAGCTGGGCGAGGGAGGGTCAAAGAGGAGGGGGAGCCCCAAACAGCCCCAGGGGACCTCGCAGGGCTGAGCGTGAGGACCGGGTCTGGCGCGCCAGGCCCGGGCCTCCCACTGAGTGACAGGGAGGGCCACAGAGGCCAGCAGCCAGCGCCGGGGCACTCGGAGGCAGCACCAGGCCCAGATGCTGCAGGAGGGAGTCCATGCGACAGAAAAGCCACCCTAGAGCCTGCTCCTCCGACGGCCCAGAGAACAAACTCCACGTAAAAATAAGAGCTGGGGCAAGAGACAACCAGGAAGAGGAGGCCGGGGAGCAGAAGGACCCCACAGGCAGAGGCAGCTCCTGAGGCAGGCGGCCCCGCAGGCCGGAGCGGCACTGGGGCCCTCAAGCTGGGAACAAGCCAGAAACAGCAGGAAAAGTGCAGAAGACGCCTAAACGTCCACAGAAAACTCGGCTCTGAGGTGACAGAAATCAGGCAGATGAGAAACGGAAAATCACTTCGCAAATGAAGAGCAAGGAACAGAAGGAACAGAAGAATATAAGCATGACAGAGGTCCTTAGAGAAACAGAAGATGAAGATCAATAAAATTATTTAAATAAAAAAGAAAGGAGGAGAAGGATAAGGAACTGAGGAAAAAGCAGCCAATGCTGGGAGTGGACAAAGACGCACACGCGGGCAGTAGGGCCCCAGGAAGGCGGCCGCTGAGCAGCGGGGCGGCCAGTGCGTCACTGGGCAAGCTTTCCTGAAAGTAAGCAAAGGAAATGAAAGACTTAGAGCCACATAAGAAGCCACACTGGGAGTATCAACCCCAAATAACACACACCAAAACATACTGTGATGCAATTACCGGACTCAGAAGAAGAAAAGTCCTGTGAACACCTAGAGGAAAAGATCGAGCAGCTTACACGAGGAAGAGAGCCAGACTTCCTCAGGCCTCAGACCCCCGCTCAGGTGTGGGCCGGACCACCTGTTCACTGACTGGACTGTCACACGGTGGAGACGCCACCTCGGGGACCAAGGACATGAGTGCACAAACACTGCCCTTACCTGGACGGTGCTCCCACCTGGCTGAGCGAGGCCGAGCCACATGTCAGCCCAGCAACGCCCACGAGGCCTTCTGTCCGAGCAGCAGCTGCTCTGGACTCAGACACGCCTGGGCCAGGTGTCGAGCCCGACTTGGGGGACTGACACCCACACACAGACCGACACTGCTGCCCAGGGCCCAGGGAGGAGGCGCCCTCCACTGAGCACGGCCAAGACCTCGTCCTCCGCCCGGCGAGAACTCGGGAGAAACGTGTGCGCCGGGCCCGGCAGGGCTTCTCAGCGAGCCGCACCTCCCTCCGGGCGGGAGCCTCGCCATCAAGCCCAGCTGCCCCTCACCGCTGGGAGCAGATCCAGCCAGAAACACAGTCTTCTTAGACCAAGGATTAGCTTTGGGAGTGGGGCGGGGCGGTTATCGCCCTACCCTGACTTCAGAAAGCCACTTGTTAAAATGGGTAAAGCGTCAGCGAGAGTAGCTGGGACGTGGCTGCGGTCTGATCTGTCCTGCGGGGAAGAGACCCCGGTTTTGCCACCCTGCGTTGTCTCTATCTGAAATGCGGCAGGTCCATCGGCCGTGGAAAACACCAGGGCCGTCACAGGCACTTCTGGCAGCCAGCGAGCAACCGACACTGGCTCCCGAACACTGCCCAAAACAAGCTCCCGTTCGCAGTCAGGAAGTCACAAAGAACACAGTCTACAGAGACAGGCTCTGAAAAAAGCTCTTGGATTTTCAGAATTACCACCCCTGGTCATTTTTCCAGAGTAACATGCTGGTTAATGATTGCTTCTGGTTTGAAGGCCGAACTAATCAACAAGCCGTATCAGCATCTGGGAACAGCCCAGTTCAGAACAGAGGACGGGAGCCTACCACAGCCGATCACAACCAGCACACCAAACCACCAGGATCCTAAGGTAGTAAGCCTGAACCTTACAACAAAACTTGGTCGAAATAAAGAATTTTAGTCCGTATACAAAGTGATTTCACTGAGTAATCCAAAAGTCCAAAACTGACCAAACAAAAGCCTATTTTTGAGGAAAGATACCACTGCTCAACTCAAACTGAAGGCGGTCAGCACAGCGGTAAATGGAGCAAACCCCGAGGCCCAGCCTGGCCTGGAGGCCACACCCATGTCATGCTGGCTGCGGGACCCACCACCCCCTCAACCCCTCTGCCTGTCTCTCCTCCAGCGGCCGGGAGTGCCGCAAGGTGCCAGCGTGACAGCCAGCAAACACACACAGCAGTCTGCCCGCAGGAGGCCACAGTGAGCGCCAGGACACCGCTCTGCGTTTTCTCCGTATTTCTGCACGGGAAGGATGGGCCTCAGGACAGGGATCCTCAACGAGAGACGGAATAGGAGGTCACCGAAGATTAAATGGTGCCATGCCACAGAAGATAAAACCACGTCTGACAAATGTTAGCAGATGCATCTTTTTCCAGCAGCTTCAGTGAGACAGAATTCACATAGTACACAATTCACTAAAGTGCACAAGTCAGTGGTTTTCAGTGTACTCACAGCTGTGTACCCAGCAGCACCACCTCATTTTGGAAAACTTTCATCTCCCCAGTCAGAAACACCACACCCACCAGCAGTCACTCAGCAACACTGCCCTCCTCAGCCCCTGGCGCCCAGTAATCTACTTTCTGTCTCTCAGTACTCCTCCAAACATTCCACACAAACAGCATCTCTGTACGGTGCTTTGTGATTGCTTCTCTCACCAATCACAAAAGAGAGCATGGCTGTTTCCCAATATGGCGCTTCCAAGGTAGCATGAATCAGTGCCTCGTCCCTTTCCTGCTGAGGAACCCTGCGTTACATGGACACGCCACTCATCTGTCCATCACTTGATGACTATCACAAATAATGTTGCTATGAACATTCTTGGACAAGTTGTCGTGTAAACACACACATTTCCATTTCTCTTGCATAGACACCTGGGAGTAGAACCGCT